CAGGCTCCTGTGGGGACAGGTGCTGATGTTGATGCTGGGGGCTGTCTGTGTAGGCAGCGGGCCGAGGCAGAGGAGCTGCAGCGGCAGCTGGAGGCCAACAGCTCTGCCCTCACCCGGGCGCTGCGGGAYGAGTACGCCAAGGAGAAGGAGGAGCAGGAGAGGCGGCACCAGGTCTGGTTCCCCCTCACCTTGCACCCCACAAGGGCAGTGCCAGCCAGCACGGGGTGCTCCCARGGCTGAGCCATTGTTTTCCCTTTTCCTCACAGGCAGAACTGAAGGTGCTGAAGGATCAGCTGGAGCTGGAGAAGCAGGCCTGGGAGGCCAACTACATGAAGAAGGAGGTGATGGCAGGACCTGTCCTTCTCCAAAGGTGCTGCCCGCAGGCTCTGAGGGATTTGAGGCAATGTTCACTGTCTCTGTTCGCAGGAAGCCTGGCTGCTCTCTCGGGAGAGGGAGCTGCGGGAGGAGATGAGGAAGGAGAGGGACAAAGAGATCGAGCTGGTGATCCAGCGCCTGGAGGCCGACACRTCCTTGGCCAAGGAGGAGTGCGAGAGGGCAGCAGAGAACAGGTGAGGGGGGGATGAGAGGAGGGAGCTCCCGGGTCCTCTGAGGGCTGGTCCCTTTCCCTGTCCCCTGGGCATCTCTCCAGCCACCTCTGGGGCAGTGCTGCTGCAGGAAGGAGCAGCTCCCAGGGACAAAGKTGACCTCTCACCTGAGGGAACAGCYCTGGATCTCCCGTGGGGCWGCTCTGTCCTTGCTGCTGTGCCCTGGTCCCTCCTGCTGCAGGAAGGGGCCCRGGATGGTCCCTGCAGCACCGGGGTGAGCTGGGCTGCCTGTTCCTCCTGGCCACAGGATCAAGAGGATCCGAGACAAGTACGAGGTGGAGCTGCAGGAGCTGGAGCGCTCGGAGCGSAAGCTGCAGGAGCGCTGCAATGAGCTCAAGGGGCGGCTGGCCGAGCTGGAAGGGGACAGCATCCGGCTGCAGGGCCTGCTGAAACACAAGGAGCAGGAGCTGGAGGAGATCCGCAAGGTGGGTGAGGAGCAGAGCCAGGGCCCTGCCTGGGTGTGTGGGGCCAGCTGTCCCCGGGGTCAGTGGCCTGACTGAGGGGATCCGGCAGGAATTCGCTGACAGGCTGGTGGGGACTGAGGAGGAGAACGCGCGGCTGAAGGCGGAGATGGCGGAGCTGAGGGCTCGGCAGCGCCTGGAGCTGGACAGGCTGGGGCGGGAGAAGGACCAGGAGCTGGAGGAGGTTCACAGGAGGTGAGGAGCACGGGCACGGGGCAGGAGCTCAGTGCTGCATCCTCGGGAACGGCCTCCAGCCCTGTCCAAGTCTTGCCCAAGCTGGGTGCTGCTCAGCCGCCCTGAACCTTCTCTCTCTGTCACTGGTGGCCTGCTCTGTGCCATCCTGTCCCTGGGGCTGCTCCTGTGCCTGCCTGAAGGACACGAGTGCCAGGTGAGGTCAGTGTAGCTCACTCTGTGTGCGTTCCTCCCTGGCAGGAGCCCTGATCACTGTCACCTCCTGGGGGCTCTCTGTGGCTCACACATGATACCTGTGATGGCAGCCATATGAKCTTCTTCAGAGGGGTCAGGGTACAGCCACAGAGGCTGAGGGCAGCTGGAATATCCCCAAAATATTATCATAATTAAACCTTGGGAAGCCAATGTGCCTTTCTTCCTGTAGACAAGTCAGTCCACACTACACAGCACACACCAGTGGAATAAAGGTGCTGCCAGGGTGTGATGGCAGTGTGTGATGGCAGTGTGTGATGGCAGCTGGAGCCCAGCTTTGGCTGGCAGGGAGAGGGGCTGAGCAGGGCCCAGTGCAGAGTTTGGCACTGGATCCTCAGCCCCGTGTCCGTGTCAGGGTGAAGGCGGCGGTGCGGAGGAAGGAGGAGAGCATGAGCAGCCTCAGGAAGCAGTACGAGGTGAGTCCTGAGGGCTGCCTGGCCCTGCCCTGGCTGTGGCTCTGCGGGCACTGAGCTGTCCCCTGTGCTCCCCTTGCAGGCAGCCGTGCAGAGAGCCAGCCTGCTGGAGTCCCTGCTGGAGCAGCAGCGGCAGTTGGCCACCGAGTGACCGTCCTGCTGGCCAGGGAGCGGGGCTGCCAGTGGGGTCAGCTTCTGCCCTCCCTGTTCCCTCATTGTCCACAGCCTGATCCCGCTGCCATGGGACCTTTGGTGGCCTTTAGATGTTCAGGAGTTTTGATGGCCTTTAGATGTTCAGGAGTTTTGTTCTGACAATAAACTTCTGCTGGTTTCTATGTCTGTTTCCATACCCGTACATGTCAGTGCCGGGGCACAAGTGGCTCTTCCACGAGGTTTGTGCCCACTCCCACGTTCTCCACCCCATTCCTGCATCCCAAGACCCTCCCTTGCACTGAGGGTGCCCAGCACCCCGATCTACACCTTGCTTCCCGTTCTAAACTCAAATACCCAGTAGGATGCAGGGCAGGATGTGATCCCACAGCCTCTGCCACCTGCAGATTCCTCAACACCCCTGCCAGGGCCGGGAAATGCCTGGGCCGGGCCGGTGGCATCTGTTTCCTGTCGGCCTGGATCATTTGGCCGCTCTGGTCCCTCCCTGGGCCGGGGCTCGGAGCGGGGCCGGCAGATGTTTGCTCAGTGCAGTTTCCACCCGTCCTGCTGCTCCCTGTGCTCGGCTGGAGCCTCCCCTGTCCCACGGCAGCAGTACCAGAGCCCCCGGGTGCCATGGAGCCGCAGAGGGACTCTGTGTCACCCCAGGAAGCTGCACAGGGGCTCGGCCACTTCCCCACTCCTGGATTCGGTGTAGGAACCAGAGCCCCGTGGGCATGGCCGCTGTGGGGTGAACACCCAGCCCCGGTCCCGGGGTGTGCCCGGCCCCGCTCCCGCCGCTCCCCGGGGCTCCGTGTGCTCCGGCATCTTCCCGGCCCCTCCCCGCCAGCGCCCGGGCTCATTTCTAGGCCAGTGCCCGGTTCAGGCATGAATAAATCAGCGCCGTTGCATAACGGGGATGCGGATTTTCACCGGATGGCTGCCCGTGCCCGCACCCCGGGGGTCCCGCGGGACCCGTGTGGCACAAGCCCTGTCCTGTCCCTGTCCATGTCCMTGTCSCTGTCCGTGCCGAGCCGGCGCTCAGCCATCCCCGCAGGCTCTGCCAGCGATCCCCGGTTGAGGAGGAGCCCCTGTGCCCCGGTTGGGCCGGGATCGGGCGCGGGGAGCGCAGCCCGGTGGCCGCCGCGCTGGGAAGGAGGTCAGGAGCRCAGGGGGCTTTTGGCAGCCACGGCGCGGCAATCGCGGCTCAATCTGGTGTCTGCCCGGGAGGGGATTAGCTGCAGCCCCAGACAAATCAGCCGGGAAGCCGGAGCGAGTGGCAGGATCCGAGCAGGGTAATCTCCACTTGGGAAGGATCTGTAATCTCCCCTGCTAATTGGGRCGACGGCAGCGGCGCTGCCCAGACCGGGAGGGGACATCAGGGGACCGGTGCCACTCTGTGCCCCTGCCTGGGGTTGGACCGGTCCCAGCCCCATCCTCAGGGCTGGACTGAGGGKCTCCCTGCGGCCTCGGTTCTCCTTTGGGATTTTCCCTTTGCAGCCACATTGGAAAACTGGCAGGAAGCAGGACAAGGGGCAGGGGGCACGGGGTGGGCAGTGGGTTTGGGTGACCATGACACAGCTCAACCTTGTTCCTGGATGTGTCAAATGAGGGGCTGTCACCTGGGCAAGGAGGCTGCCAGGGCATGGGGCTGTCGTGCTTGATGTCCCAGTTGAGCTGGCGGTTCCAGGTCTCCCTTAGGAGGGCAGGGTGGCACAGCAGGGCTGGGCAGGCACACACACACTTCATCCTCRTCCCCCACTGCAGCACAGTGTGCTCAGGATGCTGTGGGTGCCCGGTGAGGGTGGGTGTGTGCCCGGTTTGTGCCCGGTGTGGGCTCGGCACAGCCACCCCYGTTCCCACCTGGCCGTGACTCAGCCGGTGCCAGCTCAGCCGCACRGGGAGCGGGGCTGGCCCTGCAAACCATCCCGGTGGCACATGGCCACTGCTCCTATGGCTCAWATGGAGCCGTGGCCACCGCTCCTATGGACCACCGCCGGTCCAGAGGGCACTGATGGCACCAAAGCTCCGAGAGACCCCRAATGCTCCTGGCACAGACACTGTAGCAGGTCAGAGCGCCTTTGCCCAGCTGCTCTGAGGCCCAGGAAGGCTCAGGGAGGAGTTCAGGGTGTCCCACATGTGAGATTATGGACCTTTGCACATCCAGAAGRGACCAGGAACCAGGACAATGGGAGCAATGACCCAGTCAGGGTCTCCAAAATGAGTGATGGGGCACCAGCAATCCCCTGCTACCCCTGGCAGAGGGACTGGGGGGTTGTGTGGGTCAGAGCTGCTCCAGAGCACAGAAATGTGGAGGCGCAGGAGCAGGGAGAAGCTGGCTCCAGCGTGTTTATTCTCTCAGCAGCCGGTAATTTTTCCAGGCCTGTATCTATTTGTGGCGACGTGACATGTGCAGCGTGGTGCTGTTCTGTGCAGGCTTGAAGGCTTGTAAAAAATTAATCGTGTACGCAAAATTTGGCTTTAAATATTCAAACCGATGGTGGGGCTGTGCGAGCCCCGTGCTCAGAGCTGAGCCCACCAAGGGGTGGGACAAGGGCCTGGATGGGGATTCTCGTGAATGGGACAGGATGGGACAGGACTGTCCTGCCATGACCCTGTCCAGCCTGGGTCCCAAGTGGCCTTGGTGACCAGTGGCACCCACAGCTGTGCCAGGGGCTGGTTGGGAGCTTGTGGGTGAAGCTGTGGGATGTTCCTGCCAAGGAATTGGGGCTGGCGGGTTTTGGAGCATCCCGTGTTTGCAGGGCACGCTCCCACGTGCCAGGGCTRTGGTGTCGAGCAGATGAGACCGAGCTGTGGCCCCACATGGGACAGCCCCCAGCCCAGGGGGGACCCCACCCCACAGGCTTGTTTGGGGCTGGGGGCTGTGGGGTGAAGCCGTCCAGGGGTGTGGGGGCAGAGATGGGTGTAGGAGGTGTGTGAGGGGGCTGGCTGCGGGCTGAAGGGCTACCTGGGGGCAGAGCTGCCCGTCCCGTCCCCGTTTCCCACCCCTGCCCCATCCGAGATCCCATCCCTGGTCCCGGGAAGACKGCGGTGCCCGGGATGGGTCAGCACCGGAGCAGTTCCTCACACGGGACGTCCCAGCCCTTCTCCGGGGGATCCCGACCCCGTTCTGGGGGGTGGCCGCCCCTGAGTGCTCCCGGCCCTATTCGGGGGGTCCCGGCCCCGTTCCGGGGTGGCGGCTGCCCCTCGGGGGTCCCGTCCCCGTCCGGGGTGTCCCCCCGGGCTCCATCCATCCCGGCGGGACCGCGCGGGGGCGGCGGCGGCGCATCCCGGGGGGGGAGGACGCGGGTCCCGGTGCGGTCCCGGGGC